TTTCAGCACAGTGTTTTCTGTGTTTAGCTGGACTGCTTCCATGGTAGTCAGTGTTTTAACAGGAGAAAGAATGTTTTCTGAAGAGCTCGCCAGCTTCCTTATATCTGATTTTATCATATTATAAGATATGAATATAGCAAATTGTGAAGAATATGCTATTAGAAGAATTAGTGCAAAATCATTTAGTAAGCTTTCCCTTAAGCTTGAGTCAATCTGTGGAATGATATTTTTGTCCTGTGTTCATAGTATCAAATGGGACCAAAAACTATTTTCATGTATTGTGTAATGCTGAATTAAGTTATTACAATCAAACCCTTAAGCTGTAGGTATCTTTTGTTTAAGAAACTCCTTGAGCTGCCTATCAGTGTGTGCCAATTTGTAAGGATGAAATAAGATTATGGCAAGATGAGATAAAATGTAATCACCACATTGAAATCTCCTTCTCTCCACCACTGACCCAGACTGTCTCATAACTAAATTCTGCTATAGGAGATTATTAAATATCCAAATTGCTATTTCATATTTGATGACATCCCTACATAAGGAGTTATTTCTCTCTGACCATTTTTTATGCTAGCAGCACATGACCTGTCTGCTGATCTCCATTGGCATTATGTCTGACTAGCTGGAATGAGATGTTAGTAAGTTAGTATGGCTTTCACATACTGGAAATGAGACTTCCAACTCACACAGGAAGTTTGATTTGTAAAACTGTGTGGATTATTAGGGAAATCCATAAAGTTTCTTTCCTGTTTGGAAGAATTAGTAATGTGTTTCCAGATCCTAAAATAACAAGACACCTATAATGAGCTTATAGCAGCTATCACACCTACAAGTTATTCAGGACAGGAAGTTTGCCCCTTTTCACTCATCTCCAGAGGACCATTCTTGTGCTATTTATAACTATAAACTGATTTAAAGTTAATTTCTAAGAGGGCATTTAGTGGTATGCTTTGCATATGTTTTCTCAATAGCAGTATTGGCAACTATGAACGTACTAGTGTGGCATATGACAGAAACTGAAAGTAGGATTAAAAGGAAAGCATTCTGTAGTTAACATTAGCCAAGCTGAATGTAAAACATCTTTCATTCAGGAAATACATTCAGCAAGAGCAGAAGTCTACCCTTTTCCTTGTGTTGACTGCAATTGCTTCTTTAAGCCCTTACAGTGAGAATGTTATAAAATGCTCTGTTATATGTGTGTGCATATTATAATGCATTTTTCTGACACACGTTTTCCTGTGAACATATACTGCCTAGAAGAAAAGATGAGTATGAATTGTTATCCTTTTTGTTATCTAATTGCATGCTAACAATATAAAGAAAACATTCTATACAGCGTATGTGTTAGACATATTTCTAAAACTGTGAAATAGTTGTCTTCAGTAGCAGTAAGATCTAAGCATCAAATAGTAGCTTTTATTTCAAGTATTTAGCCTTGCAAAGTTTCCATAAAGCTTTGAATCTCTAGCTTCCTAAGGTTTTCGTTAAGCTTTGTTCATCCACAGCAGCCCAAATGGTCATTAATGACATACGGCCCTTTCAGGATGGCAGATATAAGGTAAGGCTCAACCAGTCACTCATCTCCTAGCTGTTCACATATACCAAGCAGGCTGTGAAACAATTCACATGATGGCAAAGAGCAGTGAGGAAAGGAGAATCTGTCTCCGATCCTGAATTGAGTACGTAAGTGCTTTCCCTCCCTCCTGAATCCATCCCACTCCATCCCATGCACATGTGAATAGGGGGTAGCCACAGACCTTGTCTTTATGTTCTCATTCAGGGCATGACATCCTCTTTTTTCAAGCTGCCTAGAAGTGGTGATAGTTTCCCAGTCTGGTAACTGCTGAGTTTGTACTTTATTAGGCAAGACCAGTTCTCTTCCATGCTTTAAGCCCAGCTGGTGTTTGTGGTTCCTTTCAAGATAAATTTTTGCTTTAGTACCAGGGGGTATGGAGACATGACAAGAGGGCACACGTCCAGCTTTAATTTGCCATACAAGCACAGAAGAGTCATGAATTTTTCTTAAGGGTGAAGAGTGTTGAAATTGCTTGGTCTGCAGGGTGAAAAGACTTCAGAGTATAATGTTCTTAATTGTTTTTAGAAAGGGGAAATTGAACTTTAAGATGTTCAAAAGCAAACAAACCTTTTAAGTGATTTTAAATCGCTAGGGTGCTTTAAAAAATAATTTCACTCTAACTTGGATTTTAATTGCCTGCTCCTTCCTCTTACTGTCATGGTGTTTTCATCCCTCCTGTTTTCCTGGAAGAGAGTTTGTTATTACTGTTTATTTTAAGAAATCCACTGGAATTTGTCCTGCAGTGCAACAAAATTTCAGGGATGGATATGTTTTAATATTCTGTATTATGAATATTTTTTATATCTTTGCAATTAAAAAAAATGAAGTTTTAATGACTGCTCTCCTATAAACCCTGGGCTGCGGCATTTCTAGCATAAGAAGCTGAGGACAGACAATGCCAGGTGCAGCCAGAATATTGCTGCAGCCCCACATCGTATCATTTTTTTAACATTATTGAAATTAGTCTCAACACTCATAATTCTGTTGCTTCCTTTATTGCTGTTGTAAAGCAAATGGTTCTTTTACACAAATGTTATCTCCTGGCTATTAATTCAGCAGTTATTTTGGATGATGGCACTCCTGTTAAATTTAGGAATGTAAAACCTCATAAATATTTAAAAGTTTCAGACTGACGTGGGAAGAAATTGTTTTTGACTTGCTTTGTTAATATCCTGTTGCTCAGCTCATAATAGATTTGGAATATATTGTTATTTCTCCACTGTTTGACAAAGGGAAAAACAATTTAGTTGAGCAACTGCTTCAAGCGCTCTCCCTGAATTGTAACAGACTGGTAAAAGTGTTTGCTTCCAGTAAAAAGCCAGGAAAATATCTGTTTTCTTTTAAGAGGTGAAAAAATGTGAAAAAATTAATTAGAGCTCACTTCAAAGTTAATGAAAATGCAGCAGTAAGTTTGTAAAGCTACTTTCAATAAAACAAGTTCAAGTAGGTCTACTTACAATCATGTCCTTCTGTTTCAGCATCTTTGTTACTTAAACTTCTCTCTAAGGAGCAAACGAGTAAGATGGACAAACGTGTTTCTTCCCTCAGAGACGTTTTACAGAGAGTGCATTTACTGTGCGAAGAGTGTATTCATAGACCAAATATTAGCATGCATCTTGAGTACCCCCAAAGCTCTGAAGAATAATTGAATGATAAAAAAGTCACAACTTTTTTAAGACCACTGAAGGTCTGGACAGCACAGTCTCTGGGCCAGGGTTCCTGTTTCACACCTGACCATGTGTTCTTTATTTATTTTTTTTAACCTCAGAAGTAAATACATAGCTTTTCGGTCAGATCTTAAAGGATGTTAAAGTGTAACTCCTCTTGGGATCATCTAGAAGTATTTCAAATGTTCCAATAATTGTTCAACAAAAGATGCTGAATTGATTCAACCTGATAAGTATGCTAGCAGACAAAGTAAGTATGCAGTTAACAGAGCTTCTATCTCTGCCTGCATGCTCCAGAGGTTCTTCAGCTGTCTCATGGGATGGCACTTTACTTAATGGGTTTGATGTATTTCCTATGTCCATTAGCCTCACTGGTGTAACGCTGTGACTTTCTGTGGTATTGGCATGCTCCTAGTGGGTGCTGATCTGCAAAGGCTTTCCTTCTAGCTAGCAAATACTTTAACACCGCAGTGTTAGTACTGTTTTATGTGAGGTTTACTCCATCTTCTTGTATATGGTATAGTTAAACCAGCTTAATCTCTGAGTAAAGTAATTATTGAGATGGCATTTTCCCTTTGGCAAGAAAAATCTTTTCACACGTAAGTAACTTATAGTTAGAGTGCAATATTTCAAAACACAGGTTTTCAAAAAGGAAACCACATGGTGGTCACATACAAGCTGTAACTGTGAAGGTGAACTTACAGTTGCATGAACAAATTGGTATTTTATGCAAGTGAATAGCTGGAGGTGCCACACCAAGTGATTTTAACTAGTTCAGCATGGTCCAGCTCATGGTGGGTTGTATCCAGCCTTTTTGTGATGTTTCTACCTGACCCATTGCCTTCTCACTGCGGGAGATGGGGAACAGATGCTCCTTCAGCAAATGCAGCCTCCTCCACCTGCCTTCTCTAGGGAGATGAGCAGCAACTCCAAAGGGGCACAAGGAAGGGCAAACAAGCCTGTGAGGATTGTCAACACCTCTGCCTGGCTCCCACAGGTGCTGCCACAGGGCCAGCCACAACACAACTGTGTGCATTTGCCAGTCCTGCACACTCAACTGCACGCTTTTGAGTGCATGAAAAGCTCAGTCTTCTCTTACAAATAGAACAAAAGTCTGCTGTTACATGGGCAAAGCAAAATGTAAGGCTTTTTCTGTTGTTTACTGGCTTACTACATAATCAGCATGTTGAAAATAATTTTTGTTTTACTTTGAAAAGTACTTCTGCTAGATATTTTTTGCATTACTCTGGTTTTTGGTTCTACAAATGTGTAGTAAACAGTATAAAGCAAAGGGCACTTGTATGCTTATGAAAGTAAAGACATTTGGATAAAGAAATTCTGCAGAGCAGTATATCTACTTTGCATTTCTGAATGGTAGCAATTAAAATTCCCAGCTGCTGGCTGTCCAGATGTTTCTTGCATTACAGCATTGTAATTTGCATTGGAATATATTGCATTACTGCAGTAGCTGTAAAGTGGTCAGCTCTCACAGTCTAAACGCTATATATGGGCTCAAGTTGGGATGGTGAGCATATTTCCTGCTCACACCAGGTTCTTCTCCTTCCCACTGTTTCTCTGCTCGTTAGCTTGACATGTTTGTATTTCTCAGAAGACAACTTCTATTGCGCAGCATTCAAATCAAGCAGGGGATGTATAGGCAGGTCAGAACTGATGTATGGATGGTTGTAAGAGTGACACGAAAAACAACCCCAAGTTTTGAATCAGAAGTTTCCCTTTCCCTTTGGCGTTTCCAGGCAGCAAACATCCCTCTGGTGTCAGAGCTTGGCATTGATGATATTCATTTTGATGACTTCTCGCTTGATGTGGATGCCATGATTACTGCAGCCCTGCGGATGTTCATGGAACTTGGAATGGTTCAGAAATTTAAAATTGACTACGAGGTAACCATCTGCGCAGCAGAGAGATCTGCTGCTTTTGTCTTGGCACCGCTCTGTCCATTTGTACACGTTTAGTAGCCCTGATACAACTTGTTCTTTTCATTTCAGACGCTGTGTAGGTGGCTTTTGACGGTTAGGAAGAATTATCGAATGGTTTTGTATCACAACTGGAGGCATGCCTTCAACGTCTGCCAGCTAATGTTTGCCATGTTAACTGTGAGTATCCAGCTACAGACACAGTCCCACAGGAGCTTTTCCTGCCACATTGCTTTACCTGTCTAAACATTTTCCAGCATTTGATTTCTTTCCTAGTTATTATGATACTCATTCATTTCCAATAGAAGTGCACACGAAGTTATTCAACTTAAGGCAGCACATGCTTGGCAAAACCTTACAGTGTTTTAATGACAGTGATATCACAGGCAGGTTAAAGTGACTGAAAACAGATGGCAGTCTTGGATTGAGCTTATTATAGATCTTGATCTTACAAAAACGTTTTTCTTTTGGAACTCTTTGATTTGACATTTATTTCAGACTTTTAAATTGAGAAGTACAAAACCAAGGAAGATTAGAATCCCAGAAGTGTTATTTTTACATTTATTTGTTTATATTTATTACTTTCCTATCCAGCTTCATCTAAATAATTGTAGAACATATTGCCTTAGAACTTTTGAAGATTGTCTTCCAATACAGTGATCTAAGTGAATCTTGTGTCTCCACTGGACGCTGTAACATTTCTGGGTTTGACTAACATGTATCTCCATCAGTACCTGTGACTCCTTTCAACACACAAGTAAATTCTGATACAAGTACCACCACTCTTATTTGCTTTTTCTCCCTACCCCACAGTAACCTCACTGCATTAAATAATCCATGTTTGGCTAATTAATTCTTGTAAATGTGGCAATATAAACCTCAGTGGTCCCGGATGTTTAATATTCTGGTTAATATGGCAAAAGAGAAGCAACATGTCTACGTGCACACAACACTTACTGCAGTACTTTTCATTTTGGGTTTGCCTTATCTCCAGTTAAAAATAAGAATTCAGGTTTTTCCATTTTTTCTTCATATTCAGCTTAATGGCCAGAGTCATCTATTGTGAACCTTAAAGTTGTCATGTTAATAGCATTTGTGCAAATATTTATTTATCTGGAATATCATGTGCTTCTTCCCTAATTTCTACGTTCTTGTTGCCAGCCGGTCTCTGTGGCATGGTTAGTTAGCATTTGGACCCTGTCTATAGAGGTGGAAAGCCCTCAGCCTGTGCCATTCACAGCATGCATCAGTGGTGTGTTACATGGACTTGAGACAGTCCATGGCCTGTTTCCTGCTCACAGGGCATGGGTTCCCAGCTGCCCTCCTCCATTTGGCATATTCCTGTGGAAGAACTTTTTGTGTCAGGCAAATAAAAAAGGAGTATGATGCAGGTAGATGTTGGTCTAGTGCTAGGTCCATCCCAGCTGTATGGGTGACAAAAGAAATGGAGACATTCAGCAAGAGAGAAAGGTCACCTTTTCGTCTGGGTGTGAGGCTGCTCACCTGACCAGAATTAATGTTGTTTCAGCAGACACTTCCTGGTGGTCTCTATTAAAATCTCATGCTAATGTGTGGGCATCGGCCGTTTTTAACGCTTTATAAACTTGACACGCTTGTTTTCAGTTATAGAAAAATGAAAAGCTTTTTACTCTGACGAGTAAGGGCAAAGTCAGGCAGCACCAATCACCTGGGAATTACGTTAGTTTCTGCCAAACGCTGCCGGGGGGTGAGGAACCCTCAAACTTCATTCGTGAGGACCTCTAGGTGGAGCTCTGAGGCCAGGTTTTGAGCAGGCTGTTCTTCGGTGGGAAATGCGCTCTCCCACCAGGCATCTCCATCTCAGCTAGCAGTGACTACGTGGCAGCCAGCAGCAAGAAAGCACATCCCTGCTGCTCCAGCAGCCACCAGCAAAAGCCTGCGAGGCCTCAACCATAAACTGCTTTGACTGTGGTTCTCAAAGCATAATTTCAGGATTCTTTTAGCAGTCGGCACAGGGATGCAACTGTCTGTGGGAGGTGATCCAGCATTTTCAAGCCAAGCTCGTTTTATTTCGCAAGCTTCTGGTAATAAACTGAATGCGCAATTCCATGTGCAGGGCTGGCCACATGTGCCCATAGCATTGGACTCACCATGCATCCCACCCCACTCTGCTGTGGCTCTGGCTGAGAACAGAGTAAGTTCAGGTGTATGACCTGCTTGGGTTGCTCTCCCTTCAAGAAACAGGAAGACTCATCTTGCCAAAAAAAGACACAAAAGAGAGAGTTAAGAAACTAGTATTAGCACAAGGCTTGTTCTTACTGTGTTTGTCGTGGGGGAACCATCTGAGTTAGTATGTGCCTTGTTTTTTCACTTGCAAAAAGGGGACAATTCTTTGACCCTCAGAGAGGGGCTCTGATGGTCAAGAAGGTAGTGTTTTGAGCAGTTATTGCACCCTATTCCTGGTTTCTCTACAACAGTCAGCATATTGACCGCACCACAAACAGAAAGCAATAGGTATATTTTAGGACATTTCCAGGTAGCCTTACCATAGCACAGTAATGTCTCAGCTGTAATGCAGTAGCCTTTAATGGCCCCACCTGTTCCCACTGAATGCAGAAGGAAAATTCAGCTGGGTTGAACAAGCCAAACAACAGAAACCAAACAAAGTTTAAACCAGTTGTTTCAGGCCTGGGTCAGCCTTCTGCATATCTAAGGTGTGTTCTTGTTTATCAAAGGATGTATTTTCTCTCTCCGGTTAGAGACTGAGCAGTTAAAAGCCCAGTCCTGCAAGCTATACTTCTGTGTTTCAGACTTGCCCAAATATTCTGAAGACAAGGACTGAAGCAAGACTGCTCCTGAGAGTTAAGGACATCACATGAGATTACAAGTGCAGGATCAGTCCCAGGCTTCATTATGAATGCCTTTGTCTGACACAGTTCACATTGACACTTGTTTCAAAAAGTAAAAATGAACAAGTAAGCAATTCAAAATTAAAATCCCATCTGGTGTGTTAATAACAAAACATATAAATGTGGGGCAAGGTATAATGAATGCAATTCATTTCCTCACATGAAAAGAATGACCTCTATAACTCACTGGAGACTCTGCCATTCATGAGTTATGGGTCATTCCTTTTCTGGTGAAAATAAATTTTACTGCACCAACATCTATAGCCGTGTATTTTTTCTCCCTGTGTAAATTCAAAACATGAGGAAATGTAATCCTCTGTTTTCTTGCATTGTGTTCAAAGCAGATGAACCCTTACTGTAACATTGTTCTAAATTAAATGTTTTTTTATTAAGTGAAATATGCTATGTTTCTCTTACAGATTCAGTGACAAGATTTTTGCTTAAATAAAATGTTGCATTTATTTTTGAGATATTGCTACTGTTAATAAATTCCTTAATCAGCTTTCCTGTATTTGCAATACAGGTTGTACCCTTGAGTTTAATCAAAGCTTGTGTTATGCTAAAGAATATTTATTACATCATCAATTTTATGTTATAAAACTTCTATTTTAAGTTGTTTTAACTTAGCTGTGAACATCTTCTCTAGATTGAAACTTGACACATGGTACGATGTCAGTTACAAACCTCTTCTTAATCCTGTTTTAAAAAACAGGCCGTGACTATTAATTGTTACACAACAGCAATGTTTAAAAAGTGAAAAGAGAAAACTCTCTTTTAAAGAATTTCCTCTGCCTGGGTAGCTGTTACTGAAACCAAAAAAAGTGATGCCACTAGGTATCAGGAGAATCCTGTAACATTCAAGTTACTCTGTATACCAGTGGATTCTACATGAAAAGAATCTTTTTTCCTTATATTTGACCCCCTTTTCTAATATTTAAACTTCCAGCACAACTCTGAAGCTTTTGTAGCAAGTCCTGCACTTCCTCAGTTCCCACTGAAATGCATTCCTGAGCACCTGGGGGAGCTTGGCTCCCTGTACTGCCTAAGTATTAACTATGGCCGCATTTCAGACTATGAAAACAGAGGCTATTTGGATTTGAATGTTCATTTATTTAAGTAGAATTTGTGGTCTTCAGGGTGAACAGAAGAGTTTTCACATGGTATTGCAGTAATGGACTGGCATTTCTGAGCAGGCTGTAAGTTCTCCCAAGTATGGACATCAAATCCCACTGATCTTCACCATCTTTGTATCACCTAACCCTCTTCTTGACAGTAAGTGAAATTATACGCCATTGAAAATCAATGGAATCAGGATTTCTTAAGCACTATTAGTGTTCAGCCTTGGTTTGGTCCTCTGATATAAATCTATTTTGTATTTCTTTCATACAGTTTTCTTTCATACTAACTAGGTAAGGAGTGCCATTGGAGAATGGCGCTGTGGAAAGGCAAGTGTTATAATTTTCCAGCTCAGCCAGTTATTTTTGGAGGCAATATGTCCTTAGGCTTCAGAAGAGTTGAAGAACCGGGTGATTTCTGTGATGGTAAGATGCACAGCACCAAAGAGGTGGTGTCCCATATAGGGTCCAGCACCTTCTCCAGGCAGGATCTTTTCAGGCTGCTTGAGGTTAGCAATAACAGTAGAGTTTCTTTTCTGACATCAGGTAGTTCAGGCAGGAAAACTGCTATGGCAAGTATCCACAAGGAGAAGTATAGTGGCAAAATATGTTACTAGGATCAGGCCCCCTTCACATGGGCATATCTGGTCTGAGCTGCTCATGGGAAATCTCAGTACAACAAACAGTTCTCAAAATTCTCTCCCAAATTCAAGTGGGTTATCTGCAGTAAATATGCCAGATTTCCTCTTTAGATCGTGCTGCTTCATTTTATATGTCCCAGATAAAAAATCTCTTAATAGTTCATAACAGTTCCATAGAGTATATTTTAGCTGGCTTCCTTTATAGGTCTTTTGATTTAACATCTTGGCTATCTGTGACACTAGGGATTGGCTGAGATGGTCACCTCATGATTGAAGAAATCTGTCTAAATACTCCTCTGAACAATAATTTCAAAATGAAATAAATTTTGGGTTTTATTTCTCTGATATGAAATTCCAGTTCCTGTCTTAATGTGCAGTTATTGGTGTTTGTCTTCAGCTCTTTTTGCCTTTAGTGACTTCTGGGTAGTGGAGAAATGGCATGCTGGAAATGCAACAGAGAGATAATAACAGATCACTCCAAGGACGTTATCTGTTCTGCTAACCTTCTAACATACAGCAGGGAATCTAATATGACAATAAAGCATTTATCTTCTCCTTACTGAAACATTCATGGTACCAAAACAAAGTTGACTGTTGCTCCATGGTCTAACATTACTTATCACTTTTGCTACTGATAGTTACAGCTGCTATTTTTTTTTTTCCTGCCCTTAGACTGCTGGATTTCAGGAGATTCTAACTGAAATAGAAATTTTAGCTTTGATTGTGGGATGTTTATGTCACGACCTCGACCACAGGGGAACCAACAACGCCTTCCAAGCCAAGTAAGTTTTTTAATTCTTATTACTTTAATTTGTTTTTCTTCCATAGAAGAGCAAAAAGTGACCAGGATAAAGAATGAAGCGTTAATTTCAGGTTTCCTAGGCCAAGGACAGCTACTACTATTCTTGTATGTACTGAGGGACTATCCATCTCTATCATTCTCTGTTCTTTTGGGTAATTGCTGGTTTGTCCTTTGTATCAGGCTGTTGAACTGAATGTGGTGCCAAAACTGGATGTTCTCTTCAGGCTTAGGTATTATTGATTCTGGTATTCCACCCAGGAAAAACTGAAAGTGTCTATCTGGGTTGTTCCTGTTGGTTGGAATGAATGATATTACGCAAAAGCAGTTCAACTATTAAGAAGAAAATAGGTAAAACTGAAGTTATGCTTTCACAAAATAAAACTTTCACACCAGTGTAGGCAAGCAGACGTAAATTCCTAGCTCTAATACATATAATCCACAGCAGGTGCCTGGAGTAGTTGTCTTACCACATACCCATCAGTTATGGAGCACGCGGTGTCCCTGGCCTGCAGAAATGCCTCCTCCCTGGCTTGTCCCACACGCCAGAGCACACAGAGCCTGTTCAGGGACATGATGCAGTAGGCAGGGGGGAGCTGGCCACCAGAATGTGAAACTGGATCTCAAAGGCAGATTCTTACATGATCTATGTGAAATTTTGCTCTCCAGGCCATCTTCAATTCTAAAAGTGAATTTGATTCTATTCACAGTGCTTATGACCTGATTCACCTGCCGTGACCTGAATATGTTTTTACTGTCCAGTCTGCTGGCCTCAGATACAGTGAGGTAGAAGCAGGTTGTAGAAGTTTTGAGGTTACTTTTTACTGTGGTGGTAAGAGAACTCCCTTAACAGAGGTCAAATTCTTTCCAAAATCCATGATCCCTGCAAACAAGGAGGGACAACAAAAAGTATTCCCTGACAACATCCTGGCCAAGCTGTGAAACAAATCTGTCAGACACAGTGACTTCTCCAAATTCCATGTTGTTTTCTTGGCTTCCCAGGTCCTCTATAGCCAGAATAGAAGACTTTCAGGCTCTCTTGTCCTGCAAGATGTAATCATGTATTTGCAGTTTGGTGTGTTCTACATTACTGCTAACCCTCAGCGTGAAAGGAGAAGTGGTCAAATCAAGTGTCTAAAGATAATTGAAAAGCCGGGTGCTGCATTAGCCTATTTTGTCCTACCTTTTGCAGAAATACTCTGCTGCAGTGTGTGTATGCATGGGCTGATGCATTTCTGGGGGCAAGATGCCTCAGTGAACATCACTCAAACTGATGTTTCTGATATTCACTAAGCTGCCATTTCCTGAGCTATTGGTGCTGTACAGTCTCAATGAAGCAATGACACTGTCTGGATCTTCAATCACCATAGCAAGGAAAATCAATTGCAGTGCTCAAAAGACAGAGCTCATGGTGCAAAGGTTACCAAGCACTACTAGATGCCTTTTTGCAGCTGAGTCTTGAAAAGAATCAAAAAAGACGAGACAAATGGGAAGGAAGCTTGGCTGATTGATGTTTATGTTCCTAATTTAAAAAAACCAAGACCTAAGATTTACACCCTGACTGTTTTAGGCTCTGATTAAGTTAACCACTTCTCCACTGTAACATTACACAATGATCTCTCTTGTATAGAGGGGTGGCTGAGTTAAAGGTAGAGGTTTCAGCACTAGACTGCTATCACTTACACTTGTTGTTTGACAGCAGAGTACAAAGAGGAGGCTACCATTTTATGACTCCATAAAGAAATTGCTGAAGACATTTAACAAAAGACAAACATTACCACACATGCATAAAACATCCCTGAAAACAGAAGCTGTGGTTTTCATAACAGCAGCTATGATTTACTCCTCTAACCTGACATAAATTTAAGCATCACATTTTCTTATTTTATCTTCAGTGTTCAATACTGCTGCTCTGTGTGATGAAAGTTCAAGAGGTATATGATGGAGGCAGTATCGCAGTTGTCAGAAATGGCTCTGTTATATATCTCAACACCATGTTCTTGAGAGATGATGTTTCCTGGACATCCTGCTTCTAATATAGCTGCTTCTGATAATTAAATATCAATATGGTGCAGTTTTATAGTACATGCTCCTAGGAGCCTCTTTCTGCTTGTCTCTAGTGTAATAATCTCTTATTCTCATTTCTTTGGAAAGAAAACCCATCTTGTTGCTTTAGATCCCAGAAGCGAAGTCACAGTGAACAGTAAATATTCTGACAATCCAGTCCCATTCTCTGCACCTCCTAATGGTTCCCAGTTTTATAATTGTATTCTATAGATTTTTGTTCTTCAAACTTGGAAAACTCACCTGCACTGTGCATTCTGAAGCTGATTTTGTTTTAGACAATAAATATGATGAGAAAATACATTCCAAAAGATGCTAATCTTTACTTTTATATTCACTGTTCTCACCTGTGGGTTTTTGTTTACCTTTGTATTTTTTGAAGTGCACGATTTTACATGCAGACAGAACCTCACTGCATTTGCAGTTGTTTTTTTGTTGCTGTGTTTTGGCGTTTTTTTTTGGGGGGGGGGGGGTTGAGTTTGCAATCACCTATTGTAAGCCATTGTGTTTATATCTACTAAGAATTAAAAAGTAGTGGCAAAACAGCCACTCCTAGCTCAGGGATGTTACTGTTTGTCTTTACTGCGCAGTGGTGCGCTTCTGCTGTTGCATTGCTGAGGTACTTTGAAAGTTACATTACAAAACTTCATTCATTCATTCCAGAAAAATCTTCAGTGATAATATTTAGCAAAGTCTGTAATATAAATGTTTTGTCTTTAAATTGGTATTTTGATCTTGCCAACTGTCTTAAGCGTGGTTGTTGCAATGGAGAGGGAGCATATGGCTACATGCTTTCGTTACTAAATTGTCTCTGAAACCTGCCTCATAAGCAGACACACAATATTTGTTGACTCCCCGTGTTCTGTTTCAGGAGCGGATCAGCCTTAGCTCAGCTCTACGGCACCTCTGCTACCTTGGAACACCACCACTTCAATCATGCTGTCATGATTCTCCAAAGTGAGGTACAAAAGCTTTACTATTAATCTCACTGTAAACTGTTGGGCAGTTGCAGCTGGAGAAAGGAAATACCACACACAGTATCTTTTTAATGCCCTCTCCTTGAAGAATTATTTATTGGTTACCACAAAGGTCACAACTAGCACAAAATTAAACAACTACAAATGCTGATCTCATAGAGCCCAGAGATTATATTTGTCTCAATCAGCTAGGGGCAAGGAGAACATATCCTAATCATATTGTCAGCTTTTCTCAGTCTTCCTACATATATCTTGCTCAGTGGTTTATAGATAGGTGAAACAAGCTCTTAAGTTTCCCCACAGGCCTTATATTCAGAGTATCACAGTCATCCTTGACTGGACAAATTTAATTTCTTTGACAGTCTTTCTGTAATCAGTATTTTTATGATGGTTTTGCATAATTTTACTAAATGATTTAAGAAAAAAATACCAGTAATACCATGCTGTCCAAAGTACACTAATTGCTTTGCAGATACATATAAAGACATAGTTCTTGCCTAGAATATCTTATGTGTAACAGTCTGCAGCATGCACTACGCCAGGGATGTAGTGAGAAAAGAATGATGTATTATTTTACACAGATAGCTTGTTACAAAATGTATTCAGTATATATAAAGACAAGAGTGTTATGCATGCAGCACAATTGGAGACTATATGCTGATCTGCAGTAACTTTTGAAGAGCATCTGGGAATGTCCCATGGTCACAAATGGAGACAGGGTGATGGCTTTACCTCTGTGTACAGTGCCACAGAGATTAGTCATGGGACTACGGCTTTTTCCAGACATTATATTAAAAAAGTAAAATAGGGAAGGAGACCACCAGCATGAGATCTAAACAGCTCAATCTGCTCAGCCTAGACTAGCTTATCTAAAAGGTGATCCTAGGTTCCTTACGCTACCAGGGACAGACATAAAAAAAAAAAAGCAGCATTTGAAAGTTAAAAAGACTGGTTTAGAACAGAAAAAGAAGAAATGTTGTATTGTTTTGTGGGGTTTGGTTTTTTTTCCAAATCATTGAGACTGTCCAGTCCCTGGAACAAGTTTTCCTGGGAAACAGTGATTTCTCTAGTGCCTGAAATCTTCTGAATATCTCTCTGAAGACAGGCTCAAGTCTGAAGACAGTCAAGTCAAATGCAAGTCCTCCCCTTCGACCATTCAGTCCTCACCAGGTCCTCATTTCTAGACCAGAAAATTAAACCTATGTGATTTTCAATCCAACAGATTCTATTTGCTAACGGAACACAGCACCCCTTAGTTTGAATCCTACAATCTACTTAAAGATACACCAAGATTCACTTAAAGATTCACCAGCTGAGCAGTCAGTCTCCTCTCTCAAATAAACTGAAATTAATTTATGTCCTATCCACTAATAAATAAGCTTTAGATTCTGAAATCTTTCTCAATATTTAGCTGGGAAGAAATAATCATTTCATTGTCACAGAGGAGACCATCTTTTATGAATGGAAAAATATTTATCTTAGTCCAGCCACTACCTGATCTATTAAAAAATACCACCTCTACCTCCAGACCTTATCTTGGCTATGTCCTCAGACCACCATAGTTACAACAATCCTGCTGCTGGAAAATTATTTTTAAGGGCATTTTAATCTTCCTAAGCAGTAGGTGGCAGCACATACTGAATGTGTGCATTACAGTGCTAAATACCACCAAAATAAGACTGTTTAGCCAGAATCTCATTGTTTCTACAGGTGATTAGGAAAAAAAAAAATAGTGTGCTGCTTTTATTTTGGTCAATTTAATTACATGTGACTAATGTCACAAAGACCGCTTCTTAAGCTTAAATTTAGAATTTTCCATTAAATTTGTTTATTACAGTTCATTCTCTAGGATTTCATAGAGAAATTACAGTCTCTCTGTCCCTCTCAGTTTTCAGAAATTCAGTTACAAAAGGACCTTCCTACTCTCAAATACCAGTATGAAATAATTTGCTTCATTCTCACTTCAGAGCACCTTTCAAATTCCCAATCAGTGATCCCTTAAAAAGTAGCCTATTGGACCTGCAAAGGGCATTTAGACTGCATAAAGTTGTGATTCTTTAGCCTGCATAGGCAATGCTTGTATACACTGTAAGACAACACAGTAATGGGCATAGTGAGCAAATGGGCTGTTTTGAATAACTGGTTTAGTGTCTTTGCTCTAATAGCAGTTTGTGTGCCTGCAAGCAGCAGCACAGATAAATCTATTAGGAGCACAACTCAAAAGCTGCAAGGCATTGCTTCCCAAAACATTCAGTAAGAGGAAAGATTGAGATGTGTCCGCAGTTTTTCCTCATAAACTAAGTCTGTGCAGGGTCAGAGCAAAGAGTAAATCTTCCCTCAAGAGGCTATAATTTCAGCAGAGTTTAGAAACACAGTCCAGGTACTTGATTACAATTGTCAACTCTTCCACCCCAATGTAATCTCAGCAGTATTAACATTATTTTGTCATAGTTTTGCCATGAATCAGAAAAGACCTCTGTTGGGGGGAAACAGTAGGCTACAGTTAGAAAACCTTTTAAAAATCTGTATTGATTGCTAGCACTTTACCTCTTTTATCTCTTTCATTATAGGGTCACAACATCTTTGCTAACTTGTCCTCTAAGGACTACAGTGACCTTATGCAGCTTCTAAAGCAATCGATATTGGCAACAGACCTCACTCTGTATTTTGAGTAAGTATTGGCATTTCTTGTATTTGACAAATGAAAATTCAAAGAACTTACTCTAATGGCCTATTAAATACCAATAAGGATATATAATATGAGAAATTACTGTTTCAATCTATGGTTGAATAGATTTAGTCTAATACTTAGTATATCTTGTGCACGTGAGATACTTTTATTAGCCTAAGTAAGTTTTGCTTTTATGTGTAACGTGACTGTATCAACAAAAAGCAAGTGAAATCCTAGGCTTATACTTTAAGCCAGTTACAGCTCAGTCCCATAATTCTTCTGCCCTTTCTGTGATCATTTCTTCAGGCATGTATAAAATCAATAACATTTTAAATTTTTCCACCATTTCAGTTTCCAAACATGCGTGCTAAGTAATACTGTATTTAGCTACAGATTCAGTTACATGGGTAACAAAAGCATATACATTGCTGTTTTGAAGACAAATTATGCCAATTTGCATCACATGAGAATAAGGTTTAACTCAGGAAACTCTCATCCTGTTTTCTTCCTTTTCCTTGTTTGCAAATCAAATCTGGAAGTAGACTTCAAGTTGGTGCTATTTTATGTTTTTTCAAATACTGTTAATTATTACCAAGTTCTCCCCAGTAAGAATGTCTGAGACCGTGTGTGTAGTCAGAAGAGTCATGGTGTCACCGCCACATTGGACTTTTGACATCCCCTTCTCTAGCACATGCCTGTGGCTGACTTACAGGGAGAAGTGCTGTTGGATGCACAGTTTCTGCATACTACCTTCCTAGTCTTGACAATAATTCCTCCTTAGGATTTTTTTTGTTTGATGTCCCTTAGTGTCCAATCTTGTATAGTGCGGGTAGCATTTACTGCTTTTCTTTGGGTGGTATACCTGGATTCTGTCCCTCCGTTGGTTGATACCAAACCAAGTGTCCAGAAAACTTCAGGTAAAGTCTTTACCCTGAACTTGTTCAACTATATCAACATTGTGTCTTTAATTGTTAATTGTAAAAATACTAAGTGAGATGCTGCAAAGTTTGCTTTGTGTTTTTCTTTTTTTCAGTATTTGCTTACTGTGCCGGTGGCTGTTTCTAAACAGTACTGGCAGTAGACATGCTGATATTCTTTGTTCACTGCAAGTCTGTTCTCAGAAAAGTTGTATTAAGAAAGGCTTTTAGTGAATAGTTTTGTTATAACTTCTAGTCTATGATGAAATTTCTGCTTGCTGACAGGAAAATCCTGAGCAGGACTAATAACACCTTTTAAGCATACTCTTTTGGAAGCTGTCTGTTTGGATTGCTTGTTATCTGGGTGGCTGGTATGACAGGGGAATTTGCTGTCAGCTTTAAGTGAGAGACAAGGACCACAGGGATATGTCAGTACGGGTTTTCCTGTCTCACCACAAATAACAAGTGCTGCAGAACTGGTTTGTGCCGTCAAGGAAGAGACGAGTGGCAGGGCCTGAGAAGGTGGCTGCCCTGGCCCAGCCCCATATGCTCCCCCTGCCCGAGATCCTGCAGCCCCTGGAAGAGCCAGAGAGGGCCCATGGCAGTATCTTGGGAGGGAACCCAGTCCAGCCCCTGACATGATGCAGCTCTCTTCCCTGCCTGCCTTAGGTTGAAAAACTCCATGGCCAAGTTGTCTTTCTAGTTTTAAATCAGGGAAATAATGTCCAAAAAGGAATATCAGGTGAATTTCAAGGTTATTTTTCCTTGCTTGCATAATTGATTTTTATGTGCTACATGGATCAGAAAACTTTTAGCAAATGAGGCCTCTTTACTCAGAAGTCTGCAAGTGAGTTATCTTTTCCTCTAGTATTATTATGATTCATTAATCTGGTAGTTGTTATGCTACTTTATTTCCAAAAGTGCCTGAAAATCACTCCCTGGAAACATTGATTTACAATCCTTAATGCCACCCTATATGAACAGATGTTTCTGCACAAGTACCTACCTTATTTGTTCAGTTTTATACATCTTCAACATTCTTGTAGAGGAGGAAATTCTCATATCAGTATTCTTAGAATGCCTAAACCTAATGATAGCAGACTCCAGCTAGCTACACAGGAACAAAACTGCAGGCAGACCAAAGCTTTAGGACCTTCTGAAGACATTACTTTTCTACAAATAAACACAAAGAAGACTTTCAGTGAAAGATCAGATGGAAAATATACTTGATTTTAATAGATAACTCTAGATAATGATGCTTGTAGATAATACAGCAAGTAAAAGCATGGGACCAAAATGAAGTTTATGGAAATTCACTCAAATGATGTCTTCTCCACTGGGCTGTAGAGCAAGTGGATTTGCTACATATAGCAAGACAACTTTCCCTTCCAGGCAAAATACACCCAGAGTCAATGTTACTCAAAGACATTACAAAATGGTTATAATTCTTTTTATTTCTGAAATCCTGGCATATTATGTTTGCTTAATAATAACAAACCTCTTCATTTTGGATACCATGCATAAGCAACCAGTAGGAAACACAAAATTGTTTCCTTATACCATGACTGCTTTCCTCAGGCTAACTTCTTCCTACACTAGAAATTCTCTGTGGGGTTGGACTACTACTTCTGCATTCATTTAAATGGATTTCAAAGAAAACTCTTATTTTAAAGTTTTTAGCCTAACATACAGGGCCTTGAGACTCACAACTTCAGTTACTGTTTATGAATCTATTTTAAATGTGAATGTTTGAGGTTTCTGGGATGTCATCTTCCTGAACTTTCAGCATTCTTGCCTGGTTTTTGCCCATTAATATATAAATTGCCCAGAATATCTAATACTTCAAAATTAAATCATTACCAAATTTTGCATTGTTAGACTGGGCACTGAAATACGGGATACAGAAATCCACTGCTTGCTCTCTTAATAGTGTCTAGTTGTTGATGATCTGGTCAGGATTAGGCTGGTTTAAGTTTTGTGTGCCAACTACTCCTGGCCATTAAAATTTTCATTGTTGCACCATTTGTTTCCACTGGAGCCATGATTCTATGACTTTGTGTCAGAGAACTGAATTCGGTTTTCTGCACGTGTGGCTTTGCATTATCCCAGTAAATTTTGCAATGTGAAACTCCTATATCTTATTTTGTAAGGGATTAGATATCATTACATAGTCCTTGTATCTTTCTGCTCTAGTTGCTGTCATGAAAACCATTATAGAATGGCCCTATAGTAGCAGTGACTAGTGGTGATACAATGCCTGACAGTCAGGGGCCAGAATAATGGAACATGCCCCACATAAAATACTGTCCATTAAGCAAGGGCACTGTCCCTAGCAGTGTGCATCTCCTTGTGTATAAAACCTATGCTGGCTGCTGTCAGACTGTGCTTTCAATAATCACTGTTCAATATGTGAAGAACTAAATGTAGAAAATAAATATAAGACTTTGCAAACTCTCTCCTGTTGGGGAATCGAACTACATTTCCCATTAACAAAGAGATAGCAGTCTCCTATGAGATGGGCACTGGGCTGTTACTCAGAACACAGGTATGTGCTTTCCAGCTTTGATGCTAGTATGTTGTGTCATTCTAGGCAAGTTGGTCCATACTTTTGTACCTCAACTTCTGCTATATCTGGGGCAGGATCTGTTTCATATTGTAGTCACGCTGCATGCAGGAAGAGCTGCTCAGAGTCTCAGTGCCATAAAAAATTACAGACTATGGTGAGTCAGAATTTTGGTACTTAAAGGCACCAAACAAGCGTTAACATGTCCTGGCTCACGTTTTGTCCGCCTTTGAGGACACAGGGAAGATATTCCAGAAGACAAAGCACGGAACCTAGTTTCTAGTCAATAAGAACTACTAAATCAAAACATCTGCAGCTCCTGCGTCTCGCTGTTCTGTTCTGTGTGCTGGAAACAACAGGAATTGTGCGTCTCTGAAAAACGCTTCAAGATAGAGAAGTAAAAACCATTTTGCAAAGACAAGTAAAGAGAAGTGTGTATATATTTCAGGGGTGTTTCTATTGTCTAGCTGTCCACTGCTGTAGTTGAACATTTCATGCTTCCATGGAAGACTGAACATTTTGGTACCATTTATTTCCTTGTCTTAGAAGACCATAAATACAATATTGCTTTTACTAGGCAACTCTGACATTGATAAGACATTTATAGAACATGTTCGGAAATTAGTATGTTTCGCTTAAATGGACTGTCAGTGTAATGCCTTTAACAATAATATGTAAGGTACAATGATTTCATGTCATCCAGAGAACTGTGTTTCCACTGCAGTGCTGCCCTGAAAGTGTCTTGTTTCCTTCTCTGATAATCTGTTTTGTTGCAGGAGAAGGACCGAGTTTTTTGAACTCGTCAGTAAAGGTGGTTATGATTGGAATATAAAAAACCACCGAGAAATATTTCGGTGAGCACTACTATTTCTTATTTTCTGGTTATTTCAAAATGTAAACATATTTTTTTAAGGAATTTCAAATATCATGAAGACTTAAGAGTAACAAGATAAGGTAGCTTGTTTTAACTGTATGATTCATGATATGAAATATATGGTATGATTTCTAAATGTTACCAAACTACAAGGATATAACCAGTGCGACCTCACCTTCTCCATTCCTGTTTCTGCCTTGACAGTCTGTCATGTTTTCTTCCCTTTCTCCCAGCCTCACCAGTTACTGCTCAGCCCTTCTGCTCTTTCTCCAGAAAGCATCAATATTCTGCCTCAGGACACAACGATCTTTCTTGTCCCTGTTCCCTCCTCCTCTCAGCTGTTTTTTTTCACTGGCCATGCTTCTCTCTGCTCTTCTAGTCTGTACCTGGGAATTTGCAGATACACGGTACTCTTCTAGCCCTCAAAAATGATCTGAGCATGCATTCCATTGAAAACCTCAGACATTGTGGGTGGTTTGAGTATACCAGGCTTTTGAGACAATAAAATGTGTGCATTTGCATATGCATGCCTGATTATGTCTCATTTTATCTGAAAATTCATTAAAATTCTGTTTCCTTTTGGTCTTTTGACCAAAATATTGGCCATTTTCTATTTTCCATATCATTTCACCCATTCCTAATTTTAGATACAGGCAATATATTTGATGTTTCATTTTCAGTGCCCTTGTTCGTCATTTAAACTTTCTTAGACTTTTATCTGCATCATGTACTGTACATAAACGCTTTCTACAGCTGAATGGTTTCTTTCTCCTAATGCATATAAAACATGGCTGTAGCTAGGTATTAAACTACAGTGGAACAGTATGGCTCATAGTAAATCTTAAATTTTTATTGTAGATGAGCAGTAGAAACTGCTTAAACAGTGTCTGGGATGCCTCCTGTGATTATAGGTTCTCTTGCTACAGCAGTCGCTTTTACAAATAGGCATATAAATTAATCCAGCTTGCAGGTGTTATTATATAATAATAATTTTACTTACATCATGTGAAGCACATTCTTTCTAGTATATTACAGGTATTAATGTAAGTGGTGTTAGAAGTATTGCAAAATTAGCAGTTACTCCCTTGCAATACCATTTCTTTTCTAGCATGCAATGAACAATACCAAAATTCATCATCTGATGACCTGCAACACATTAGGCTTCCTAGGCACAATTGTGATGTAAAAGCCATGCTGATGGTTGAGATTTCAAACATGTCATTCTTTTCTGGAGGTAAAGAAGGTGCCAGGGCTGACATTTTATATATGTATTATTTATTTATGCATCCAGAGCAGAGTGGTTTAGAAATACAACAAAGGTTGATTCAGCTTGTATTGTTCATTTCTGTTTTTCAGATCAATGCTAATGACAGCCTGTGACCTTGGAGCTGTGACCAAACCGTGGGAGATTTCAAGACAGGCAAGTCATGATTAATAGCAGGGCTGGGAGGAGGCGGGACTGGCAGGACAATATTCCCAGGGCCCTGGCTTACAAGGGCCCAAAACTGGAATCAATTTACAGCAGTATTACTGCTATAAAAAAATAGCAGGGGGTTTCTGCGAGAAATGGTTTATTGCATAATCTTTCCATGTACACATGCTGGTGAGCAGCATGTAGGTACCTGAAGAGATCTGGCTTTATAGCCTCTTCTCTTATTAACCTTTTAAATCCATATCAAAAAACAGATGGATTAAACAAAAAAGCACCCAGATGTAGATGTACTTACTTGTTTTGTCGCAAAGTTTTCCTTGGCAGTGGTAAAATCTTCCCTAAATCAAAAATACTAGGAGATGATCTGCAAATATTGATCAACATAAAATATTCAGTATGTATGAGAGGAGAAATGTGCTCATTTTCTCAACATTGATGGGAAAAAAAATGCAAGTGGAGTATTGAACCTTTTTTAGCATCCTCTACTTAGAAACAAACAAAAATTCAGGCTTCTGCTGCTGAGTAGGCTCCTTAGAAACACAAATACTACATATCTGTACATACATAAGCATACACTCTTACATACATAAACATACATTTATATACAGTATTCCTAAATACTCGTGAAACTTGGGTCCAGCACTGGCAAACAATTACAAATGTGAGAAGGCAAGCTGTCCCAAAAGTCTTGTCCTTTACACCACATCATTTTCCCTTTTCTAGGCATCTTTCCTTATTCAGCATCCATCTTTATTATTTCCTGTATCCATGCTAATAATTCTGTCTTTTACTGAGGTCCAGAACAGTAAAAAGCAGGATGTGTAGGGTTTTGGAAGAATACACAGCATCAGGAAGAGAATAGGATATATACCAGTGCAGCTGAGTGTGGCTAAGCACCTGGATGGACTTTGCTTAACAGCAAAGTGATGGTTAAAAAGATGGGGTAAAAAAGAGAAGCTAAACCAGACAAATCATGAGGCAGGAGCAGACAAATTTCTTGGGGAAGGACAAAGAAGTAACAGAAGCTGAAAGGGACCTACAACTGTTACATGCACATTAACTCAGTAAAACCAAAAACCAAACCACATTTATGTGGTGATGGCTTCAGCTCAGCTTGCAGCTTTGTCAAATGAAACTTTTTTGCTTTTATGAGCAGGCTATGACAATAGTCCTTCTTAAGGCTACTACTCTACTTGAATATGGTCACCTCCCACGGAAATCGTGGAAGTTGCTTGCATCCTCCAGTGGGAAAATGAGTCACAAGTTTTTTCAATGCCACCTCACCACAACTGCAGTGTGTGCAATCCCTTCTCGTTTTTCCTCTTTAACCCAGTTAGCTTCCCCATTTTCTTTGACAGCCAAGATGTCAGGTAGAGTTTGTTTTCCATGTTATCAATCAGTCTTATTGCTCTGGTTTGGGGGTTTTTTATTCTTACCACTTTTGAGGTCTGCGAGTGAAAGTTCACCTGCAACCTGGTGCACAAACTGAAACCTGCAACCAAATCAAAGGTTCCTTTTGATTGAAACATTACCTGGTTGAGCAGAGAGGCTAGTAAGTCCATAGAGGGAAAACAGAAATAGTTGGACCTCAAATGTGCCAAAAGAAAAAATCCATCCCCCCCAAAAAACCACAACATGAAAAGTGAGGGAGAAAGAGATTAAAACACATGAATCAAAGGAAATAAAGGCTATATGTAAGAAAAAAAAAATTCAGGAAAAGGAAGGGAAAGGCACACAAGGAGTACATGATCAAAATAGCAGTGAGACAGGGGTGAGACTATATCATTTTTATACAATACACTCAGCAAACTGTTAATTGCCTCTAAGTTGTTAAATTATTCCTCTATCTAGAGTATTGATCCAGAATTTTATTAGTGCACTGGGATTACATACATTATAAAGTTCCAAATTATGTGATAGCCTGGCTCAAGATTTAAGAGTACTTTACAACATAACTTCACCCATTTCAAATTTATTTCAGTACTCCTTATTTCAACTGTAAAAAGCTTTGGATTTGTGAATGTTAGCAAAATGCAGTTGCTAGAGCAAGAATTTTTGAGATTTTACGAAGTGTAGGTTCTCTGCTTAGTTATGTGCTCTTGTGCTTCACCATTATGAAATCATTTCCTAGCTTGAATTTACTTGAAAGCAATAAGCAGGCATGACAGGAGCATTAGGAATCAATTGCCATCTTCAGTAGATTAATTTCCCTTTTTTGCATCTCAAATGTCACATACAAATGCCTACCTTCAAAGCCCCACACATGACAAGTACAGTACCTAAAGGATACTTTATCAGGATTACTCAGTGTTTGAGTAACCGTTTCCGTAACAAATTTTGGGTTTAAATCTTGTGTTCTTCTGAGAAGCACAAACCTCATCTGTGAATAGAACATCTTCACTCACAGAAGTCAGAAAGATGCATTACAACTTCCAACCCGCTAGTTCTTGATTTTGATTCAATATGATAATCACAACCTGATTTCATATTTAGTTATACAGAGCCAATAGTGACGATAGTCATAGGAAAAAGGTAAAGCCCAGTGATGAAAAAAAAACCTTTATGATTTCACATTAAATTAAGACAACAGATGTTATTAGTTAATTAACTTTCTTTTATAAGTGAAGTTGTTTATACAGGGCAACAGCCTGTAAATACCCAGAGAGCTCTTGCACATTTTACAAAGCATTTTTACAGACATAATTGTGGATGCCAACAAGAAGCTATGATTTTCTATTCTGTTCTCAATACTTGATTAAATTGCATATAACTGCATTAAGTGCTGCCTCAACATTGCAATGTAATTCCAACAGTCAATTCCCTGTCAAAGGGATGTGTGCCCATCAGTGATTATGGTTGTTTATACCCCCTGTATGCCCAGTCCTGAAAACTATACAAACATGTGTCTATACAAACAAGTCACGTAGGTTGGGCTGTTCACTTCTTTACGGTTAAGCACAGGCTGAAGTCCTGGTCTGAGCAAGAACTCATTACATAAAAATTATGTAGCGAGAATGCTAATATTGATCTTGATTTATGTTTTAGGCAGCTGAGCTGGTAACCAGCGAGTTCTTTGAACAAGGAGACAGAGAAAGATCTGAACTCAAACTCACCCCTTCAGTAAGTTCTAATGATGTCTGAAATAATAGTTACTAACTCAAATAGGGTAAGAAAATATCATTTGGCCCATTCAGAAAAAAACCACATATTTTGTACGTAAAGAAAAGAATCTTGGAATAAATGAAAACTCTGTCCAGTAAAGATATGCCCTATATTAGATCCATATAGAAATAAAAGCTTTCTAGTTAACTCACTTAGCATCAAGCCCTTTCCTCCATTTTCTGTACCTATTCCCAAGGTTATTCTGTCAGTTAACTTTCTAAGCAATAGGTATTGTTTTTAATACATAGTATTCAAATAAAAATCACCAGCTACCTATGGAAATCAAAATCGTCAGATTTAGTTCATGATGCCACTGTGTTATTTGATGTGTCAAATGCAGAAAAACATTTCTATAGATATTCAACTAAATATAACACTGTGATTGAAAGGATAAATTGGTATTAAGTGGAATATAGGCAAATGGGTATAAAGAGTCAAACAACTAGGAAAAAAGTTTCATAAAGATTTTCAGTGAACAATTTGGAGAAAGAGCCTTACCTAGGTTAAATACCACAAAATGTTGACAAGCCATTATCTGGAAGCAACAGGAGAAGGCTAATGAAGTATTCTAAAGAATTTAATTTGAAAGCCATTCACAAATGTATTTACTTCCAAAAATGAAAAGACTGCTGCAGTGGCTCAGGCTTGTTCTCACTTCAATAATGCTTGCACATGAGCCTGTGGTGATGTAAAGTCAAAAAAGTTACAAAATGTGTGGTAAACAATGCTCAGATACAGTAAATGGCTTTTCACTTTGTATACTGTCAGAGGTTGGGACATTAACGGATTTCTTCCCTGTAGTAGTTTTGTGTGTACATCTTCTCAGAAAAAATGATAGCTGTAGTCCAGTAGAAGAGTGATCAGTCAGTCATGGTATTCACAAATCTGAGAGCAACTCTAGGCCTGAATAACCGCAAGTACCATTCCATGTAATATGGATGGAAGTGCCTTTCCTGCCTTGTATTTAAAATTTGCAGTGTTTCTCATGTTAATGAAGCAAAATAGAAAGTAATTTTATTTTAACACACACATTAAATGTTAGCACTGATGAATTCTAGTGCATATGGCCCAGGTCCAGCAACGTTAAGAGTTATTTTAAAGTGTGTTATTACATCTACATTTTGGACGTAATGTAGACTTGGTAGAAGTGCAGAGAAAGACAAAGGCCCAGAGCTTGCTTCTGGACTTATGTCTTCTGAAAATCTGCATCTAACAGCCCAGACAGGTGGGAAAGAAGAGTGTATTGCTATAAATCTATTTAGTATTGCCTCCATCATAGGAGCCTTCTCACTCTCCTTTTGGACTCTACAGTCTGCACCAAGGTATACATTAATTTATGGGCCATGTGCTTTGAAGCCATACAGCTTGAAGGAAGATTTTCCTCTCTGGCCCTTTGCAATTTCAAAAAAATCCAATAAACTCACATATTAAGTGGTTTATGATGGGAGATAAGGCCAGTAAACAATCACAAAGTTCATCAGTTCTAACAGTTGATAGCTAAGGGTCAAAATCATAGATCTCATGTAGAGTTTTACCACATTAATGAGGATTTTTAAACAAGAGCAAATGCTGATGTATTTCATGACATATCACCAGACAACCCACCTAGGTAGATACTGCTGCTATAAGAAAGTTGGTAGTCAGCAAGATAATGTGATATTCTCTTATAATCCAAGGTGCTTTTTTCTTGCATTGTGCTTATAATAATTTGAGAATTACAGGATTTTCCAAAATTATTTGAATAAGAAATACAGAATTTTCCAAAATCAAACCCAGGATTCTCATTTAAGATCACGGGAGTCCCTGAATCTTACCTCCTGGTCTTATTTAGAAACACAGAGTGTTACCTATATGTCCAAAAGAGCAGGCTACAACTAGAAGAGTTCAACCAGATATTTAATGCAATGTAATTTGTGTAGTCTGGAGTTTTGAGAAGGTAGAGAAAGAAAGTTTTCACAGGAGACATCAACCTTTGGAAGATGATCCCAGAATAAAAAACAGGCTTTCCACAGAAAAAGGCAAAAACATTTAAAACTTGGCATATTCAGAGAGTTAAAAAAAGGCATTCAGTAAATGGTGTGGATGGGCCACTAGAAGGAGGACTGAAATCATGTAGATGGGAAACTGATGAGCCTAAGTAATCTCAGGCAGAGTACGGAGGAAACTTAACTCACAATCAAACTCTGCAGAACTGTTTCTTCCATCTCCTTTCAGCCAATAATTGAGCCTCTTAAACATCAGTTTCAATTTCTATAATTTCCTCTCTAGGGGATTTCAGTGAGCAGTGAATTAGGCTGTTTCCAGAGGAATAAATTGATAACTGCTCCCAAGATGGATCTGTTGATTCTCCTACCCTTTGGATTCACAGACATGGCTGGTTCTGCAGAAAGGGTCTGTAACTGGGAGGGAGGGACCCACCCAGATCCACCACTGTTCATTTTGCTGAGTTGGAGAAACCTATGTGAGAAAAGGGAAATTTCTACTCAAAAGTATCTACTTTACATTTCTACAATAGGTTTCATACCAGCTCAACTCCAACTTGTGGAGCATTTATTTTACACCACAGAATTATAAAATTCATATACATTCAGACTACAAATTTCAAAACAGAATTGAAAATAAAGTGTATTTTTCATGCCAGACAAAGCAGTAGGAAGACTGCTGCAAAGATTGATTACAGTTTACGAAGTGTTCTAGTCGTGAGAATTTGGTCATAGCTCCACAGTGCTGGATGATGTGTCTGTAAAATACTCCAGTGTAAAGCAGTGTGACAGTTTTGTTCCCTTCTCAATTCAGGCCATTTTTGATCGGAACAGGAAAGATGAACTACCCAGGTTGCAGCTCGAGTGGATTGATAGCATCTGCATGCCATTGTATGAGGTAATTTTTACTTACTGCTCCTGTAGAGTCCACAGAAGATTGTTCTTGCCTCTCTAGGGAAAACAAGTTAGCTTGCAGTGCAGCCTTGAAGGCTATTTGAACTCTTTAACTTTACTAGAAGACTGAACTCTATGCAGAAATCATCAGATTCCCTGAAGGTGGTAACATCTATAAACATAATTCCCCTCTAAGTAATAAAGCTGATAGGGCAACTATTCATTTTATTACATTTGAGACAAATGGATTCTCATCATTGCAAGGTGTGTAGTGCTCTACAGAGTTGCCAGAGGGACAGCCTTGTTACATGCTGCTGTCAAACCTGTCCAAATGTGTGTGACCCAAATGGAAGCACAAGGCTGAGCCTTTGCGCTCCCTTCTGGCTCCATTCCACATGTTAAGGGGCACTCTAGGCCAAGCCTTTAAGGTCAGTAACAAATGATTTCTCGTTTAACCTGTGTGCTGTTTAACTTGGAGTTTCCTCTTTCAATCATGCTTCCACACAGACTGCGTGAGTGCTTGATGTAAGGTATATAAGTGCTCAAGTACTACTTTATTAAGGCTGTAGATGACCAGAATGCTTCCCTCTTTTTTGATTAAACCAACTTCAGAATCTGACTTGTGCAATATAAGCTTCACCATTTTAACTATTTGTCTCTTACCTGTACAGAAAGCAGAGCTACACAAGCAGGATGATCAATGCAAAATAACACTATAGAAACTTAATCATCAATAACCATGTCAGCCACTCTCCCACCTACTCACTGCAGGTGACCACCTTGTGCCACTAAAGACTGCCAGTTTTACCAGTAAGAATATTGGGGTGTTCTTACTAGGCAGTTTTGGGGAACTGCAACAGGTTCTCCCTGTTACCACTGCACCCTAAACTGCCTTACATCCCCAAGGAATGAACGGGTCAGTGATGACACAAAGCCAAGAGCTGGAAAGCAGGTACCAGCTCCCATGTTACCATTAAACAGCTGAACTTGTGCCTGAATATAGCTTCCCTACACACAAACAAAAATGGACTGTCAGTTCCTTTTCATTTTATAGACCAGATATGCCAGTAATAGCATACAATGTGCTTCCCTTTGCTCTCTATACATTGTAGCATCTGAGGCTCACACTGTGACAATAATGAAGTGACTGGCCACCAGCAAAGGCAGCTCCTGTTGTGTGACATGGACAACATGCACTTGCGTGAACAGTGAGGCGTGCTACTGCCTTGCCAGCAGATCCTGTCCCTTTCTCAGGACAGTCTTTGTCATGATGAAATAAACTAAAGCTACAGCTTCAAACAATTAAAGCAAAGCAAGCACAGAAGAAGAATATAAACCCATATTTTTTTTTTTTTAAACACCAAGATCATTTTGTACAAGGGAGGTGGGGGGGATGACAACTGACCTTAGACAAAAACTCTTTAAAAAAAAAAAAAAAACTTCCTCACAACATAATGGTTCATATTATACTAGAATGCATATTATACCAGAATTCATGATTTGTAATAGCATCTGTAATCCAAAAATGTATGTTAAAACAGGAAGAACTGATAATCAGCCCATCCTCTGCATGAGAAGACTACATCTGAGCACTAAAGCTCTGGTTAGTTAGCTCCATCTTAGCAGGAGATCTCTGGGGAATATATTCACATCTGATTTCCCTGCTTTCTGCTGTCTCTGCATCATGCTGTGCAGCTATTAGCCTGCTGCTCAACAACTTAAAAAAGAGACACCATCAAACCTGGAAGTCATTGCAGCACCAGCCTTAGGGGTAAACAGAAAACTTGATGTCATAGTACCACACTGCAGGAGATTCTCTCTTCAATGTGGAGCCAAGTTTTAATATTCATATCCAGCTTAATCAAACCTCAATACACATATCACATCAGCAATGTATTCAGGCATTGTAAATTCTCCATTTAGGGCTGGCTGAACACTACAACTAGGGCCAAGTCCTAGAGGTCTTTTTTTTTTTTCCCCCAAATATAATCTTTAAAATTCTAGCCATTGTAATCTGTTGTAGGGGCTGCATGTAGGGAGAGAATGAGTTACACCATTACAAATACAACATAAAGAGGCAGAGTGGCAGCTGACAAACTGATAAAATCTTAGCAGTATTTATATTGCTCACTAGCATAGTGCTTATAAAAACTGCGTGTTTGAAATTAACATGTGACGCTCATTTTGATACCAGAATTACATTAAATCATAGAGAACAAAAATCAAGGCTTTTGCAAGTAGTTTTTTCCATGCTAGTGATTAAATGTCCTGAATCCGTGCGGCCATATCCTAGCACCCAGAGCCCTGAAGGGAACGCTGTGGGGAACACATGCATACATTCCAACACAGTTGCTACCGCAGGACCTAATGCTGTGCTCAGAGTTATTTGACGCCTGCACAGCAGAGATGGTTCCAACAACTCCCGTTATGCTCCCCACTCCCAAATGCTGGCAACTCCCATTAAAGTCAGACAGGAGGTCAACAGAGCACCCTGAAATTTTCTTTGCTCAGAAAGAGTAGGCTACTCTTGGCAGCTGCACATGCCTGAAGTATGGAATGCAGAAGGAACATCACAGCCCCAACTTCCAGGGGTGGTCTCACAACACCCGAGTGCCACTGACAGTACTATAACAGACCTGTATCTCCTCCACAGTGCATACTTATGAGCAAGGCTACATACCAGAATGCCCACAAGGAATGTTTTATACTTCAAACTTTGCAGAGCATTTTAGAGTATTATGGCCTTCCTACCCTTATTTCTTTTTCTTCCGTTCTGAAACATTCTTTGGGGACATTTGGGTCTACCTCCTCCTTATGCATCTGCTCTCTACATTTCCTGAAGATAACTAAGACCATTTTGAGGTGCAGTTCTTCTCCCAAGTAAAGGACAATGAAGTCCCCTTTATTGGAGGATGTGTATTGCCTGGGTAGAACTGTGTCCTAAGTTTGGCCCCTTTTTGTGAAAAGGCTTACGAGTGACTAACAAAACATCAAGAAGTTCAGGTTAGATATAAGGAAGAAGCTCTTCACAGTGAGGGTGGTGAGGCACTGGAGTGGGTTGCCAAAGAAAGTTGTGAATGCTCCAGCCCTGGAGGTGTTCAAGGCCAGGCTGGACAGAGCCTTGGGCAACATAGTTCAGTGTGTGGTGCCCCTGCTCATGGCAGGGGGGTTGGAACTAGATGATCTTAAGGTCCTTTCCAACCCTAACTATTCTATGATCTGTGCAACTTCCATTAGCAATCCCACTTGCCCCTTGGAACACCTGTCTGACCCAGAAGAAGGAAGGTCAAAAATACACAAAACATTACATCATAAGCTAACATGAAGCTTGAAGCTGAATGTAGATACATGATGATAGCCAGGGATATTTAAAAAATTTTAATAAAAGAAAGAAAAATACCCAGAATTATACACAGCTAGATTCCTCATATCCAACTGTTTAAATCCAAAACCTTTTTGTGTTTGCTCTGCTAGCTGACTCTGCTCTTGGCACAAGGTAAGCCATGGCTCTACTCCCTTGATCTGTCCCACATCTGCAGCTCAGTGTGGGAATCAAGCCACCTCCAATTTCAAAATACCTTAGTAATCAAATCTGCTTCCTTCACAGTATGGATCAAAGGTTTGTGAAGATAAAAGCTTCCCAATTTTTTGTTCATTGCTTTTTATTACTCTTGGGACGTTATAATTTTATTGAATTTACTTTTTTGTTACTGTAGTGATCACTGCTCAGAGTATTTTTATATGACAGGGGAGTTTTTGCCTTGAGTAGCAGAACAGTCATCCATTTACTCTGAAGCTCTGATTTTTAGGGCCTTTAGTTACACTTTACTGCATCACATTTGCTCTTCATTCAAAAATGCCAGCAAGAAAAGCATTCATCAGTAGATATGAGAAACAAGCTTATTAGAATAATAATTTATAAAGTATGCATTTATTTTATTTTGTACGATAGAGCATTTCAAATCTACTAGTGCAGCTTGAGTATGAAGTAATCATCTGGGTGGTTTTTTTGTTAGAATATTCTATAAAGGTGAAGCACATGCAACTAAAGCAGAAAATCTAAGACATCCCAATGGAAATAAAAGCACTACAGCTACACTGACAGCTGCATGCACTACACAGAGGAAGTATTCTCTACCTATGTGGACATACATGTTCGTGTAACAGGAAATAAAATTTTGATCATTAAGACAAATTACTTCTGTGTCCCTCCAGTAAACAGATGCTGAGAGTTTCAACACTAACAGATTTCTCTCCTGGGCTCTGTGGTTTGCATATACCTAAACCAGGATCAGTCACAGTTTTTTTTTCCTAACTCATAGATTTCTCTATGGGGAGCAGACAGAGTGGGAGAGTGAAGATCTTATTCTATTTAATCATTATTTTTCTCACAAACAACATCAAAGCTTCAGCAATTCACATCAAACAAAAGATGCTAACAGAAGCCCAGCTCTGTTCACAGCATTGTTAGGCAGAGACAGTAACACTGTGAATAGCAGGGCCAAAGGCCATGCACTCTGCTTCTGGGCAGATAAATACATAGTCAGGTAGTCAGTGACAATGACAGCAGCTATTTAAATTTAAGGGAGATGTCTTTGTGGAACATAAAGAAGCTCATGGCTTTTACAACTTATGCGTGCCTGAGATTGCCCTGCTCACCTCTACCTTGGTGCTCCATTTTAGTCCTATTCAAGATTTTCTTGGGTATTGAGAGCTTTAAACATATAATAGTATCTACAGAAGCGAATTTGCATTACTCAGTCCAGGATTCTAGGGGGAATCTGGGAAGAGTAGAAACAATTATGTTTAGCCTAGCAAGTACTTTAAATGGTGTGAATAGAATGTAGAGGAACAGAGTCCTTTATCACACTCTTTCACATACTTGCAAAGAAATCTAATTGGAGCTCCGATATGCCTGGCTTCCTACAGAAGATAATGTTTGGCCTTGTAATTAAATCTGTCTTTAGAGTATGATGATGTAGCTGCACAAGCATCTATTCTGCT